AAAAGTCCCTCAAACAATGACTACTACAACAGTCCCTCCAACAACGACTACTACAACAGTCCCTACAACAGCGACTTCTACAACAGTCCCTACAACAACGACTACTACAGCAGTCCCTACAACAACGACTTCTACAACAGTCCCTACAACAACGACTACTACAACAACAGTCCCTACAACAACGACTACTACAACAGTCCCTACAACAACGACTACTACAACAGTCCCTACAACAACGACTACTACAACAGTCCCTACAACAACGACTACTACAACAGTCCCTACAACAACGACTACTTCAACAACACAACTACTACAACAGTCCCTACAACAACGACTACTACAACAGTCCCTACAACAACGACTACTACAACAGTCCCTACAACAATGACTACTACAACAGTCCCTACAACAACGACTACTACAACAGTCCCTACAACAGCGACTTCTACAACAGTCCCTACAACAACGACTACTACAGCAGTCCCTACAACAACGACTTCTACAACAGTCCCTACAACAACGACTACTACAACAACAGTCCCTACAACAACGACTACTACAACAGTCCCTACAACAACAACTACTACAACAGTCCCTACAACAACGACTTCTACAACAGTCCCTACAACTACGACTACTACAACAGTCCCTACAACAACGACTACTTCAACAGTCCCTACAACTATGACTACTACAACAGTCCCTACAACAACTACTACAACAGTCCCTACAACAACGACTTCTACAACAGTCCCTACAACGACGACTACTACAACAGTCCCTACAACAATGACTACTACAACAGTCCCCACAACAGCGACTTCTACAACAGTTCCTACAACAACGACTTCCACAATAGTCCCTACAACAACGACCACTACAACAGTCCCTACAACAATAACTACTACAATAGTCCCTACAACAGCGACTACTACAACAGTCCCTACAACAACAGCACCTATCACCACCACAATTCCCTCAACAACCGAGATGACTACAGAAACACCAACTACAACAGTCCCTACAACAACAACACCTATCACCACCACAATTCCCTCAACAACCGAGATTACTACAGAAACACCAACTACTACAACAGTCCCTACAACAACAACACCTATCACCACAACTATTCCCTCAACAACCGAGATTACTACAGAAACGCCAACTACTACAACAGTCTCTACAACACCTGTCACTACCACAATTCCCTCAACAACCGAGATTACTACAGAAACACCAACTACTACAACAGTCCCTACAACACCTGTCACCACCACAATTCCCTCAACAACCGAGATTACTACAGAAACACCAACTACTACAACAGTCCCTACAACACCTGTCACCACCACAATTCCCTCAACAACCGAGATTACTACAGAAACACCAACTACTACAACAGTCCCTACAACACCTGTCACTACCACAATTCCCTCAACAACCGAGATTACTACAGAAACACCAACTACTACAACAGTCCCTACAACACCTGTCACCACCACAATTCCCTCAACAACCGAGATTACTACAGAAACACCAACTACTACAACAGTCCCTACAACACCTGTCACTACCACAATTCCCTCAACAACCGAGATTACTACAGAAACACCAACTACTACAACAGTCCCTACAACACCTGTCACCACCACAATTCCCTCAACAACCGAGATTACTACAGAAACACCAACTACTACAACAGTCCCTACAACACCTGTCACTACCACAATTCCCTCAACAACCGAGATTACTACAGAAACACCAACTACTACAACAGTCCCTACAACACCTGTCACCACCACAATTCCCTCAACAACCGAGATTACTACAGAAACACCAACTACTACAACAGTCCCTACAACACCTGTCACTACCACAATTCCCTCAACAACCGAGATTACTACAGAAACACCAACTACTACAACAGTCCCTACAACACCTGTCACCACCACAATTCCCTCAACAACCGAGATTACTACAGAAACACCAACTACTACAACAGTCCCTACAACACCTGTCACTACCACAATTCCCTCAACAACCGAGATTACTACAGAAACACCAACTACTACAACAGTCCCTACAACACCTGTCACCACCATACAACAGTCCCTACAACAACGACTTCTACAACAGTCCCTACAACAACGACTTCTACAACAGTCCCTACGACAACGACTTCTACAACAGTCCCTACAACAATGACTACTACAACAGTCCCTACAACAACGACTACTAATACAGTCCCTACAACAATAACTACTACAACAGTCCCTACAGCAACGATTACTACAACAGTCCCTACAACAACGACTACTACAACAGTCCCTACAACAACGACTACTACCATAGTCCCTACAACAACGACTACTACAACAGTCCCTACAACAACGACTACTACAACAGTCCCTACAACAACGACTACTACAACAGTCCCCACAACAGCGACTTCTACAACACTCCCTACAACAACGACTACTACAACAGTCCCTACAACAACGACTACTACAACAGTCCCTACAACAACGACTACTACACCAGTCCCTACAACAACGACTGCTACAACAGTCCCTACAACAACAACTGCTACAACAGTCCCTACAACAGCGACTTCTACAACAGTTCCTACAACAACAACTACTACAGCAGTCCCTACAACAACGACTTCTACAACAGTCCCTACAACAACGACTACTACAACAGTCCCCACAACAGCGACTTCTACAACAGTCCCCACAACAACTACTACTACAACAGTCCCTACAACAACGACTACTACAACAGTCCCTACAACAATGACTACTACAACAGTCCCTACAACAACAACTACTACAACAACAGTCCCTACAACAGCGACTATTACAACAGTCCCTACAACAACGACTACTACAACAGTCCCTTTAACAACGACTCCTACAACAGTCCCTACAACCATGACTACTACAACAGTCCCTACAACAATGACTACTACAACAGTCCCTTTAACAATGACTCCTACAACAGTCCCTACAACCATGACTACTACAACAGTCCCTACAACAATGACTACTACAACAGTCCCTACAACAACAACTACTACAACAACAGTCCCTACAACAGCGACTATTACAACAGTCCCTACAACAATGACTACTACAACAGTCCCTACAACAATGACTACTACAACAGTCCCTACAACAACGACTTCCACAACAGTGTCTACAACAACGACCACTACAACAGTCCCTACAACAATAACTACTACAATAGTCCCTACAACAGCGACTACTACAACAGTCCCTACAACAACAGCACCTATCACCACCACAATTCCCTCAACAACCGAGATGACTACAGAAACACCAACTACAACAGTCCCTACAACAACAACACCTATCACCACCACAATTCCCTCAACAACCGAGATTACTACAGAAACACCAACTACTACAACAGTCCCTACAACAACAACACCTATCACCACAACTATTCCCTCAACAACCGAGATTACTACAGAAACGCCAACTACTACAACAGTCTCTACAACACCTGTCACTACCACAATTCCCTCAACAACCGAGATTACTACAGAAACACCAACTACTACAACAGTCCCTACAACA